TGGGCCTTCCCCTTTGGCTTGGGAGGGCCTCCCCGAGGCTTGATCTGTTCGGGGTTGGGCTGCTCTCCATGAGGCTTGGCACGCTGGGAGAGTTTCTTCCTCTTGTCGAGGAAGTCCTCGATCTCCTTCAGCTTCCACAACAACAGGTCCAGCCACACAGGCTCTGCGAGCTTTGTGAACGGTGTCTCGGACCCCTCCGAAAAACGGTGATGATTGAACGCCGAGAAAGGAGGACTCTCCTCGAGCGAGAGCTCGCCTGCGAGAACCCACGAGCCTCGATCCACAGCTAGCTGGTCCCCCTGAGCAACCAACAACGCACACCTGGCTCGGGCTTGGGCATACTCCTCGTTCATGAGACAATCCCAAACCCCCGCTATTCCCCAAATGAAGCGTATGTTGGTCTGATAGGGCTGCACTTTGGAGCGGAGCTCCAGCCACGCCCTGGCGGACACAGGCACTGCGCTCGAGCCCGGCAACTGACGGGCCAGATTGAAATCGGCCCGGACGTTTGCCTCGATGCGCTCGTAGATGTAGGCAGGCTGAGATGACAGGGCAGCCCTGAGTTGCTGCAAAGCCACGGCATTCCGCCGCCCGGCAGATGCAGAGGCGCCCTCCCCGTGCCTGCTGTTGCTCCCGGCGCCCTCGAGGATGGCTTGCAAGCCTCTCTCCTGCTTTCTGTTCGATGCAAGAGCGTCCGCAATCTCGGTCAACTTGCTCAGAGCCTTTGCAACCGGGTCCACGCCCTTGGCGGGCTCCGGCTCCTCCTCCTCGCTGGCACTTGCTGACAGAGGGTCGGCACGGGCGGCTAGGCCCGCAGGAGGCCTCTTTGCCGCTGGGGCTGGGATGTCGCCCAGCTTCCCAGGTCGCTTTTGGATGAGTGCGCTCATCTCTGCCAGATGCTCGCGGCTGATGCCAGCAGCAATGGCTGCGTTGACAACTGCAGGATCTAATCCGGGCAGCGGCAACCCAGACACGGCGGCAGCGGGTCCTGATGGTGGAGGACCCTGCGGCTTCTTGAGTGCTGGCTGGCGGGCTGGCGCGGGTGTGGCAGCGGGCTTGCATGGCTCACTGGTCTCTCGTGAAAGTAGTCGCTCAAGGCTAGCTTGGATATTACCCAGGGTACCCTCAAGTCGTTCTACTCGCTGGTCAAGGCCAGATGCAGGCACCTCAGCACCCGCACTGTCGGCGCTGAGGAACAGGTCAGGGTAAAGCTCTTCGGCGAACCTGACTAGGTCTCCAGCAAATGGGAGGACCTCGGCAGCTCCCTCTTGCTCTGCAAACGAGAAGTCGACGGCGACCTCACTTCCGGGAGCAGGGAAACTAACCAAACCTTCGGCTTCGTGACTGAGGAGTCCGACCCAAACACGCAGTGACAGGTCGGGCAACGGCTGGTCACGATTCTCTGGCGAGGCGCCCCGAACTGTGGCCACGGACGGTCGGCTGAACAATTGCAGGGGCACTACACGCCGGGCAATGGTCCTGTGCCAGGCACGATGCGGGATGGCAACAAGCACGTCCGGACCAACCAGGCAGATGGCAGCGGCGGCCACAGTGGTAGTGGCCTCACTCTCAACGATACTGAGGACACCAAAAGGGTAAAAGTTATCTACCCCACTATCCCCTATTATCAGATTATTACGAGGCCCGTCAAGGGCTTCGGTCACCGGCGTGGCAGGCTCAGGCTCGGTCATGGCCACTCAAGGCCGGCAGCAGTGACGGCAGCACGGGCCTCCCACTCGGAGGGGAAACCGGTGAACACTGAATCCCCGAACTCTCCGCGCTTGCCGACCCACGGGACCAGCTGGGCAAAGCTCTGGAACACTTTAACGGGCGAATGCTTATGGCCGTTGATGTCTTGCACACACACGTAAGATCACACTGGGCAGGGGGATCGAGTCGCGACCCGATGGGCCCCTGGCTCTGCCCTTCAGGCAGCGAACCCAGAACAACCCAATGGACCTTGCTGCGGCCAATCGCCGCTCCGTGCTCACAGGGGCGTGGGATGATGCAGCACTGGTACTACGGGGGCTTTCGGCAGCTTCCTCGGCGGGCAGCACGAGCTCAAACTCAGAGGCCAGCTCTAAAGCAGTCACTCGGTCGGCAAGGCGTGCTACCTCGTCCTGGAGCCCGGCAAGCCGCTGACGGATTTCAACCAGCTCACGAGCGGCCGAGCTCCGGCTCATGCAGACGGCCGGTTCCGCACAAGTACAGCAGGGCTCCACTGGTTGGCCCGGTTCCTGATCACAGCAAACAAGTAATGCTTGATGATGAGGATGAGGTCCAGTACCTGAGCGAGCGCCAACCCGAGGAGGATCCCTGCACAAAGGGACGGCACGTCGAAGGCAGGCCCCCAATGAAGCGGTGCCCCTGAGCAGTGTCCCAGGTCCCCGATCGCAGCCGGCTCAAGGCCCCAGAAAAGCGCTTGCAGGATGGCGCCACCTACGCCACCACCCGCTACGCCCGCTCCTAGGGGGCGAAGCATGCACTTCTCCAGCCAAACGCTGCGTGTGCTGGCTTGATCATGCATGCAAGGACATACATACATACATACATACATACATACATACATACATTACATTACATACATACATACATACATACATTACATACATACATACATACATACATACATACATACATACATACATACATACATACATACATACATACATACATACATACATACATACATACATACATACATACATACATACATACATACATACATACATACATACATACATACATTACATTCATTACATACATACATACATACATACATACATACATACATACATACATACATACATACATACATACATACATACATACATACATACATACATACATACATACATACATACATACATACATACATACATACATACATACATTCATTCATTCATACATACATTACATACATACATACATACATACATACATACATACATACATACATACATACATACATTACATACATACATACATACATACATACATACATACATACATACATACATACATACATACATACATACATACATACATACATACATACATACATACATTTACATACATACATACATTTACATACATACATACATACATACATACATACATACATACATACATACATACATACATACATACATACATACATACATACATACATACATACATACATACATACATACATACATACATACATTACATACATACATACATACATACATTACATACATACATTACATACATACATACAAATATACATACATACATACATACATACATACATACATACATACATACATACATACATACATACATACATACATACATACATACCTTACATACATACATACATACATACATACATACATACATACATACATACATACATACATACATACATACATACATACATACATATATACATACATTACATACATACATATATACATGCATACATACATACATACATACATACATACATACATACATACATACATACATACATACATACATTACATACATACATACATACATACATACATACATACATTACATACATTACATTACATTACATTACATTACATTACATTACATACACATATACATACATTACATAACATACATACATACATACATACATACATTACATACATACATACATACATTACATACATACATACATACATACATACATACATACATACATACATACATACATACATACATACATACATACATACGTTACATACATACATACATACATACATACATACATACATACATACATACATTACATACATACATACATACATACATACATACATACATACATTACATACATACATACATACATACATACATAAATACACATACATTACATACACATACATTACATACATACATACATACATACATACATACATACATACATACATACATACATACATACATACATACATACATACATACATACATACAGACACACACGCACACATACATACATACATACATACATACATACATACATACATACATACATACATACATACATACATACATACATACATACATACATACATACATACATACATACATACATACATGCACACATACATACATACATACATACATACATACATACATACATACATACATACATACATACATACATACATACATACATTACATACATACATTACATTACATTACATTACATTACATTACATTACATTACATTATTACATTACATTACATTACATTACATTACATTACATTACATTACATTACATTACATTACATTACATTACATTACATTACATTACATTACATTACATACATACATACATACATACATACATACATTACATTACATTACATACATACATACATACATACATACATACATACATACATACATACATACATACATACATACATACATACATACATACATACATACATACATACATACATTACATACATACATATGCATACATACATACATTACATACATACATACATACATACATACATACATACATACATACATACATACATACATACATACATACATTACATTACATTACATTACATTATATACATACATACATCATACATACATTACATACATTACATACATACATACATACATTACATAATTACATACATTACATACATTACATTACATTACATTACATACATACATACATACATACATACATACATACATACATACATACATACGTACATTACATTACATTACATTACATTACATTACATTACACTACACTACACTACACTACACTACACTACACTACACTACACTACACTACACTACACTACACTACACTACACTACACTACACTACCTACATACATAAATTACATACAGATTATACATATATCTACGAAATTGATTGATTATTCAAAAACAGGAAAAAGACACCTCCAGCTCTGGTCCCACCAGTCACAATATTGCTGCCGCGGCGCGCCATCAGCGGTGCCATGCTCTTGCTGCTGTTGGCCATGTGCTGGGCACACAGGAAATAACCTCACAACAAGACAAGCATTGGGAGCGGAGTAGCAACCGGCACAACCAAGCTTTGGCTCGTTTCAGCTCGCTTCAGCTCGCGTCTTCGTTTGATCTTTGAAGCCCTGGGCTCCTTCTGCGGTATCGGGGTTTGCTCGTCTTTGAATCGCCAATGCGTCTCGTTCGTAGGCCAGCACATCATTCTGTCACACACCCTGAACTATCTGCGGCATTTCGGCCGTATACCTAGGCACATGGTGGCTTCAGCTTGCGCGGAAGTTGGCTCGAGCAAACGCAAGCAAAGGTTTGTTGGAGGATTTTGAGATCGCTCTTTGTGTTCCTGTGGGCAGGGCAGCGCATATCAAGCAAACATCCCAACTCCCTTTTCAGGGTAGGTGTCGGAACTGCCACAAGGTTGCCCTGAAGGCCTTGACGCAAGGGCAAAACGTTGGCTCCTGACTCCTGCAAGGGTCGAAACTACAAAAGGCACCCTTGTTTGTGGGGCTGGAAGGGAAGGAAGTGGGCGACGGCCCCAAACGTGGTCCGGGCTTTCTTGAAATTCGAGGTTTGCGTCGTCTAACCACGCCAGCAGCCCGCGAAACTGGATTCCAACGCGTGCCCGATGCCAGGCAGCGTGTCATGGGGCAGCCGGGCGCTTCGGAGACGCACTGATAGCCGGCAAAGCCTGGCGAGGGCAAAAGAAAAGCAAGGGGACGGCAAGGGGATTGCGGGCGTCGGGTTTCGAGCTGGTTTCCTTTGGCATCACGTCTATGAAGAGGAATCACAACCTAGTGATTTGCCTTGAAAGCGCTGCAATCCACAATGGTCTGGTCTGGCAAAGCTATGGGCACATACTTCGACTGGTGACCGTTCTGAGATCTCCAAGCAAGGGATCCCCTAAAGGCGCATTCCAAGATAGTTGTTGAAGCTTGTAGAGGTCTTCGTATTCCCACAATGAAGCTTGGGTTCCCCAAGGAAACCAGGGCGGAACTGACTCTCCCGTCCTGAGCTGTTGACCGGGCGCTGCTCAAGTACCCATGTATCTCGACCGTTAAACATGACCCCTCCCAAAGTGCCAAATTGCTACCACCAAGAGGTGCTTGGGCTCACCAGCTTCAATTCAGTGTTGGGCTCTGCTCATCCCGGCAAACGACACTTCCAGATCGGTCCTTTGCGGATGGCCAAATGCATCTGAAAGTCCACACCCTCCGCCACGCCGGGCGTGTCGAAGAGCTCCTGAAGGCCCCCAAAAGGCCACACTCCAAAAACTGACGTCCATTTGCTGTTCTGCCGGGTGAACCGCTGAACGGTTTTATTAACTGCGTGGTGCGTCTTGGAACAGGCATTGGCAGGTGGGCTGCGGCATGCTCTCAGGGTCTTCACTGCGACACCCGCCTGCTCCAGTTGAATACATGGAAGATAATGCTTGTTGATACTATGTTGAGCGTACTGTTTTTGTTTGGATTCGGTCACTGTACCGGGTTCATGGTCACCATCCCTATGACAAAGTTGGAATCACCACACTTCTTGTGCAGAAACACTGGCGAACTTCCTGTAAACTCTGAAAATATTTCGCAACTCTTTTCTTACACGTAGACCGCAACAAATGGCAAGGAATTGGCGACTGAGAATTGTCAGGCTGACCGACTGAGAGATGGTCTATGCGTTATCCCTGTTTTACCTGTCTCCTTGGGTGAAGGGAACAGGTCCTTGGGTGAAGGGAAGCAACTGCGTTATTGTTTACACAAACTGTCATGCGTGCACAAAAGTGGGGGTTGTCCAACTGATTTTTGCCATGTTCAGTGTGATACACCTTCACACAAGGCACGACATCAACAAATGAGCAAAGCCACCCTCACCTCACATGAGACATGTAGATATTACAAGTCCTTCTAGTCACCAGCGGCAGGGACTGCTCCACATGTCAAACCACATCATTGAATCACTCAGATGAAAAGCTGGCTCTCGTGATCCCCAGCCGCTTCCCAGGCCTTGAGGGTGCTGTTGCCATAGCTGCGGCAGACCGGGCAGTTCGCCGCGAAGGTGTAGTCGAAGACCTCAAGGCGGCTCGCTCGGCTTTTTCTCGGTTGCAAAGCCAGCGGGTCTGTCTTTTGTACCTGGCTCCGGACGCCTTGGGGCACGAAAGGGAAACCATGCATTTCAGGGTCCTCAACTTTAGGCGCGCCGCCTCTCTTTGGGGAGCGGGACCTACCCTGGTTTCAACCAGCGGTTCAGAGAAAAGCAACTCCCACGAGCAGCCAACCCATTGCTACCTCTTGTCTGCGAGCGGATGCTAGTCCCAAAACCTGACGCAAGCCAGCCCAAAGCCACCCAAGTTTACCCAAGGTCAAGCCTAAACTAAGACAAACAAAGCTATTGCCAAGCGGCGCTCACGCCCCAGCTAGCCCCAAACAAACCGAAAACCAACCCTGACAAAGCTCTAAAACCGTCTAAAGCCCACCCTATTCCTGCCGCAAGAACTCAAAGGGCCTTGAAACCAGCCCTGCAACGCAACATGAAATCAGGGCGAGACTGAGCCCAGTGATGCTAGGGATGTTGGTCCACCCGTGTCATGCCACTATGCCAACCAACCCAACCACCGTCTCAAAAACGAGAGTCAACTCATATGTGCCAAAAACTCATGAAAAAAGGGTACAATGAATTTACTTCCGCTGACCCCTTTCGCGTTTCGAGGGCATTGTTCCCTCAGGTTTGCTTTCGCAGCGGATGCTGCGAAGCACGTGGATCGAAACAAACGTCCGCGTGGCAGACAGTGCATTTCAACAGCGTCCCGGAGCTGAGACCCCCCGTTGACTTCTTAGAGGGCTATGAATTTCAATAAGAGACCCTTTGGTGGACATCGTTTAGGTGGGGATTCATGTCCACCAATCACTTTTGAGGCGGTTCCCTATGAAAATTCATGGCCATAACATCAGTTTATGGCGCTCAGTTGCAGCCTCTCTCCGCCTCTCTCCGCCCAGGCGCTGGCTTCGCAGGCGAATCTGCGGCCGCGACAGCCAAAACGCACAGCACCCAGCGCACCATGCCGTACGAGGCGCGCGCACGAGGCGCGGAGACGGCTGTTTGGGGCTAGCTGAACAGCTGCAGGTCTCCCTTCGAAGGCTCAGGCCAAACAAAAATCCTGGGATCAAGGATAAGGCTTGAAGGTGATGTCAATAGTGGAAATGAGGCCATGGACCTGACTGAAATGATGGGCTGAATACTTGCCAGAGATGCCCGTACCTGGAGTGGGGCCAAGCATGCACCCTGGGGCAAGGCTTAATGACGCCGTAGAAGCCCAATTTGAATCACGCCCTAATGCAGAGCCTTTAGCCGTAAGATCAAGTGGAATGACGTCGGGCAACTCGCCTCAAAGACCCAAACCAGGGGAACCCTCGCCAAACCGCCGGTCCGAAACATTGGGCTACCCTCTGCAGCTGAGGTTTGGTGAGCAAAAACCAGCCACAAAGCTCAAGTCTTAGGCTTCAGTGCTGAGTTGTCTACACGCACCTAGTCTACTAGTACCTTCGCTAAGCAAAATTCGTGAACCTAACGAGCCCCGTAGTCTCCCTGGAAATTCCCAGGAACTCTGAAAACTACCCAAATCCTTTGGATTGGCGGTTTGACCCTATGGCTGCAATCAATACAGGTCAAAGAGTCCTGGGAGCTTCCGTGGCCCCCTGAGCGCCCCGCCACAAGCAGGGCACGAAACGGCGGACTGCTGCTCCGCGCACGCAGAACGCTCCGGTGGCCCGAGCCGACGAGGGGTGGCGCGGCTAGGAGGCGTTCTCGTTGACTGAAGTAAAAGGGCGACTGCCGAGGGAGGGAGGGACATGGGAGCTCGTTGCATTGTTCCTTTCTTGCCATGCACAGGAGCAAACAAGTCCAAAACTACTCATAGTGCAACCAATCATAGCGCCCATTCCTCTGAAAAGAGACAGCTTGTCCCAATCTGCAGGTAGGAGGGTGTCCGGATATGAAACCTCCTTACAAACTGAGGCTGTCATTTAGGCGTGGTGCTTGCCCGATCAACATATCCCGAAAGCAAAAGAGGCGGGAGCTTGACCATCAGGAGAACGCAGAGAATCAGCTAAGGACGTGCAACAAACGAAGAGGACAGTCAATATAAAAACGGCAAGAACGTGTAAGCAAGGTACGGGTGCTGGCAAGCTCAAGAGGGGATCGGCAGACGGCAACCCGGTGTGGGCCCTCCTTTTCCTGAGCATCTAGTGACACAGCCGCTGTTACTGCCCCCGGTGCCGCTTGCTCCGCGGAAAGTGGTTTCACTCGCCACGCGGGGTGGAAAGACAAATATCCTCAAAATAACGCGCCAAGCTAGCCTTGCGCTGCCACAGGACCTACTTCTGCGAAGCTTGGCTAGAGCTGGCCTGTCAGAAAGGAACCTTCTTAAGCTTCTTAGGGCACCAAGTCACTGACGTACAAACCCCGTTGACTGCTGGAACAATGGCTGGCCAAATATGAGGCAGCAAGAGGACTTTACTGGCAAACGGTTGAAGCTGAACAGCTACGTGGCAGCAGCAATGATGACAAACAACAATGACAATAATATAGGAACAAACAACAAGCAATAGTAATAATATGTAATCATAATCATAATACATAATGACAACAATAATAATAAAAATAAGAATAGTAACAATAATAGTAACAACAACAATAATACATTTGCAGTCCAGAAGAGATCCACATGAAACGTGGCCAGGGCAAGGAGTACCAGGCGATGGGAAGATAAGGTCCAGCCGAAACCTCGCGCCGGGATCCAACTGCGAACCCTGCGGTTCAGAGAATTCCCTTGCCCTGGAAGAAAGGAACCCGCACGAAGGGACCCCCTCATGGATAACTGAGGCACCGGTCGGGTGTTTTGATTCTGGCTGCTTTTGAGAAACCCGCTTGCAAGCAAGTCGGCACATGAAACTGTCCGAATGCCCCCGAGTTTGAGCCCTCCAGATCAACAAATTTGACCCGACAGCTTTAAAGAGCTCACCATCTGAACCATCTCAGATGGCTCTTGAGGGGTCCTTACATGTTCCTTGCAAACATCACACCGTTCCAACTTTCTTGGCGTGTTGCGAATTCGAGGCATTTGGAGGGTCCACCCATGCCGAAGGCCAAAATCTCCAATCAACTAACCCTCGTGCGAAAGAAGCTCCACTATTCACGGGTGAGTCAACGCTCCCATGTTCTTGTAAGGTCGCAAGTCCCTCCCCGGCCCAAAAGAACAAACCAAAACTGCCCTAGTGTCTTTGAAGTATTGACCTCCGGCAGACATCACTCCTTACTTCCTCAGAAACTCTTCGAGGCCGCTTTGCCGCCGCCAACATTCCCGGGTGGACGATGTCTTTTTGCACCCGAGCGCATGTGGTTAACGTTTCCCGAGCGCTTCCTTGGTGGGGGGGGGGCTCAAAATCAGCCAAAAAGTTTAAAGTCCTGCAGTGGGTTCCTTAGGTCCCTGGTACCAACTTTCGAGCCTGAATGGAAGCAACCCAGATCAACTTGTTCCGATCTCTCCAAATCTTTGAGTTGATGTCTCTCAATACATCACCGCGATCCCTCGGAAACCCGGCCGAAAAGGTGATGCTGAACAATGTTTAGGGCCGCCAAAAGAACAAAAAGTGGGGAACCCTTGGTGCTTTTTTCTCGTGGGGTTTCCCCCAGCCCATGACCCTTGGGAAGCACACTTCAGAACTAAAATAAATCATGATTTGTTGAAGCAAACCACAAGAAGCCGCCAGAAAACGATGCACCGACAAGTCATCCTCTCAACAGAACTTATGGTTTCATCATTACATCGTGCTGGTTCTCTCATGCCAAATCCTCGCGGCTTCTCTCAGCACACTTTTAGCAGCCCACATTTGTGGCGTGTGTGTTGCGACGCTGTCTGTACAACCTCAGGTCACAACAGCCTGAGATTCAAGAATGGCAGCAAACTAGCCATCGGCAGCTGCTTGGAATTATCTGCCTTCCTCAGCTGATCTTGCGCCTGGCTGCTGTCTCCACGGAGCCCCAGATTCAAGAATGGCAGCAAAAGCACGGTCACTTGCTTGGATGTGCTGGACGTTCCTCAGCTGTTCTAGGTCACAACAGCCACAGATTCAAGAATGGCCACAAAGCAGCGTCAGTTGCTTGGATGTGCACTCCTCAGCTGCTGTTGCACCTGGCTGCTGTCTCCGCCGAAACCTGCACGACCCCAGGTCACAACAGCCTGAGATTCAAGAATGGCAGCAAAAGCACCATCGGCAGCTGCTTGGATGTGCTCGACGTTCCTCAGCTGCTGTTGCACCTGGCTGCTGTCTCCGCCCCATGCTATAGCACCCCAGGTCACAACAGCCCCAGATTCCAGAATGGCAGCAAAAGCACGGTCACTTGCTTGGATGTGCTGGACATTCCTGAGCTGCTGTTGCACCTGGCTGCTGTCTCCACCGCTTTCTGATTCACCCCAGGTCACAACAGCCCCAGATTCAAGAATGGCAGCAAAAGCATAGCTAGTTGCTTGGATGTGCTGGACGTTCCTTAGCTGCTCCTGCACCTGGCTGCTGTCTCCGCCATATTTTGCAACACCCCAGGTCACAACAGCCCCAGATTCCAGAAATGGCAGCAAAAGCATAGCCAGTTGCTTGGATGCGCTGGACGTTTCTAAGCTTCTCTTGCACCTGGCTGCTGTCTCCGCCATATTCTAAAAGACCCCAGGTCACGACAGCCCCAGATTCAACAATGGCAGCAAAAGCCGCCTTAGTTGCTTGGATGTGCTGGACCTTCCTCAGCTGCTCTTGCGCCTGGCTGCTGTCTCCACCGCTTTCTGATGCACCCCAGGTCACAACAGCCCCAGATTCAAGAATGGCAGCAAAAGCACGGTCAGTTGCTTGGATGTGCTGGACGTTCCTTAGCTGCTCTTGCACCCGGCTGCTGTTTCCGCCATACTCTGCAACACCCCAGGTCACAACAGCCCCAGATTCAAGAATGGCAGCAAAAGCAGTTCTAGTTGCTTGGACGTGCTGGACGTTCCTCAGCTTCTCTTGCACCCGGCTGCTGTCTCCGC